TGACTCGGCAGAGTTAAACCGTGACTCGGCAGAGTTCAACTGTGACTCAGCAGAGTTAAACCATGACTTAGCAGAGTTAAACCATGACTCAGCAGAGTTAAACCATGACTCAGCAGAGTAAAACCGTGACTCGGCAGGGTTAAACTGTGACTCAGCTGTGTTAAACGTGACTCAGCAGAGCTAAACCGTGATTCGGCAGAGTAAAACTGTGACTTGGCGGAGTTAAACGGTGACTTGGCGGAGTTAAACCATGACTTGGCAGAATCAAACCGTGACTCAGCAGAGTTAAGCCGTGACGCAGCAGCAACTGACCCAGTTTGCAGACGACTAATCCTGTGCTCGTGTCACACAGGGGAACCATCCGAGCAGGAAGCGTTTAAAGCTCGCTCCGTTTCTGATCGACACAGGAAATCAGTCAACACTTGTGAAGGACAGACATCGTCTCTAAAGACAGCTGATGGCTGCTTTATTCCAGTCTTTTGTAGGTTTTTGTAGTTTTTCTGAGGTTCTCAGGTTATCGTATGATGATGCTCTGTGACACCCTCCCAGCCTGAACTTGTCTTTTATTTGGTTGTTTTAATCCTCTGAACCCCCAAACTGCTCTATTTATTATTTACTCGTGTCACATTTTAAACAACGCAGCTGTGGCTAAAGTAGAGAGAACTGAGAAACGTGCAGAATTAAACAGAACGCGAGAAATTATTTTAAAAAATAGAAAAACAAAAGTAGAAATTCTGTCATGTTTTGTTTTACAAAGAACAAAAAGCTGTAGTTCAACATTTATCACATAAGTGACCACAGGTTCTACCAATATAAAAAATAATGTGAAAAATAATGAGCCTACATGCAACTGATGTTTTCCGTCTCTTGTTTTTAGTTTGCTTAGCACTGCCTGCAGTTCAGCTGAGACGTCCTTTGAATTTTCATCACGTGACCGTCGCTCACAGCCCAGTCGCCGACGGCTCCTCGGTTGTGGCAAGAATCTCAGAATTTTTTTATTTTGGCAGAATCTGCCTAAAACGAACACTAGATTTTATTGTGAATTTTTACACTTTTCTGTATATTTAAACATTAAGCTGAGACTTGACAGCACGCCACAGATTATCGGTTTAATTTCGATGATATTTATTCAAAGATTTCAAACCGGCATGTTTCAGGGTTCAGAGGGTTAAATGTACTCAACAGATAGACATTGAGCCGACTTCCTTAAAGCTTTGTGTGCTGCAGAGTAACTGTTTAGCTCCGTCTGCAGCCGTTCTGGTTCCCTTTTTGGTAAAATGAGCGCAGCTTTCTTGAAGGAACTCTCGTTCTTCAGCTGCCTCCTTCGACTTGGACTGCAGGCCGATAAATGACGGCTCGGTAGCCATGGATACGGTTTCTTTAAAGCATTAAAGCACCTCTGAACCTGAGCTCGGGCTGCAGCTGCACGTCTTTGCTGCCGTTCTCTATAATTTAGGGAGAAGAAGCGGCGTCGGTGTCGCGCCTCGCCGCCGGCAGGTCAGGCCTGTTGGTGAGCGGCGCAGTAACAGCCTGAGCGGTTTTTATTATTAACGTTTAATCTCTGTGCCGCAGAGCCCACGAACAAGACCTCACGAAGAGACACGAGAGGGACCTGGGGGAGCTGAGCGCCGTCCACCACCGGGAGACGCAGATCATGCTGGCCGACTTCAACAAGGCCCAGGAGGTCCTGAAGGACAAGATCTCCGCCCTGCAGATCCTGTGAGTCGCTCACACGCTCTCGGCTTTAAACCCTCTGCCACGCAACGCGCGCTCATTCGTTTTGCTGCTGCTTCCAGGCTGGAGGGGACGGAGGAGAAGCTGAGGAACCGGGAGAGCCGACCGGAAGATCTGCATCTGATCGCCGAGCTCCGGGAGATGGTGACCGAGAGGGAGGCTCTGGTCAAGAAGCTGGTGGTGAGCAGCATCAGAAAACAGCCACAGAGGCTCCGGACTTCAGCCGCCGACGCTTCAGTTTTTATTTCATTCACTGAGTTCAAACAAACACGACACGAACATTAAGGCAGCAGACAGAAGAATCATCCGAGAAATACATTTACAAAAGACATCAACAACACGATAGACATCAAAATACTCACAACAACAACAACAACAACAACGTGAAACAGCTCCTTTAAAGCCGACAGCCACGTTTTGCTTTAAAACTCTTAAAATAAAAAAACAAAACTGGTCTTTACAGTCAGACATAATGAACACGTCGCCTCCTTTAACTGTAAACACTGATTCTTTGGTTTCTTTGTTCAGATTCATCCACAAACTGGTTCCTTTAAACTTTAACTTTCCGTCGCTTCTGTTCTGAATCTGGCTTTTTAAAGATCAAATCAGACGTACTTTCTCCAAATCTTTTCTGGACGTTTCTTGCTCATGTTTGTTTGTAAAACTTATAACACAGTGGATTCGTTGCCTCTCTGTGCTGTTTTCTACTTTTTATTTTCTGGAGTGAGCTCAGTGTTTTCTCTCAGAATCCTGAATGAAGTCGTCAAACGAGGCCGAATGTTTGAGTAAATGAAGCAACAACGACGGCGTTTGTCATGGATATCCGTGTACCGGACTGGTTTTTGTTGTCTGCATTTCGTTGTCGGCTGCCATTCCAAAGCGGGACAATAAATCTGAGCAACCTTCTGATGAACTTTGTCGATCTGGAGATGCAGCTTCGTGTAGAACCCTGTGGCCTGTGGACAGAAGACGTTCCTGCTGCGAAGGTTTTTGTCGTCTGAATCTGACGTTCTGCTGCCTGCTTTGAGGGTTTTACGATTTGTCTCACACCAGCTGTAGAAACAGAACCAGTCGTCGTATTTCCGACCGTCCTTGAACTACTCTTCTTATAAACCTGAACGTCTGTTTTAAAATGAGCCAGAAAAAAAATAAAAAAAACATCATATGCACGAAACAGATTCTGAAAAATACAACAATTCTGCAGCATGAGAAGGTTTTAGTGAAATAATGATCGTATGTAGAGTTTTATTTTCTAGTTTTGGTGAAATGTGTCGACACTTTATCCCGTTTTTTTCTTCTTCTAATTTTGTTAATAATCAAAGACATTCCAGCTTAACTTACAGCCTGACAGAAGACGTTTCTTCTTCTTCTTTTTTTAAAAACATTTATTTATTGAGTTTTTATTTTAACAAACAGAAGAACAATCCCAGACGGACGTAGAACCGGTCAAACAGGAACTAGTCTGAATAGATAATACGACAACAAGGATGATGAGAAGCACTGACAACACGTGAGTGAGATTGTGTGACGACAATAAAGAGAAATAAGTTAAAGTAAATGAGTGAAAAAGAAAAGAATAGAATTGTCATCATACACAACGTACAACAAAATGAAAAGACAACTCCAGTGGTGCAAAATACAAGAATAAAAAGTAAATAAGAAAATATAGATAATATACATAAATAAATATATATAAATAATATATAAAACAAGATATAATATATAATAATTAGAATATAGTATGATATAAATAATAAATATATGTGATAAATAATTTGGAATAAAATCAATAAGTACATTCTTTAATTGCATCTACAGACACGTTCTGCATCGTTTGCGGTCACAGAACACATTTCTGAGTCCCGCTTGTGTTTCCGGAGGTCGGGCAGAAGGTTTACCTCTTTGTTTTGTTTCCTCTGTTTTGAAGGACGACAAGAAGTTCTACCAGCTGGAGTTGGTCAACAGAGAGACGGGCTTCAACAAGGTCTTCAACTCCAGCGCCAACGTGGGCGTCATCAACCCTCTGATCAAGGTGAGCGTCCGGCCGGGTCCAGACCTTCACCACGCCGCTCCAGTTCATGCTCCTGCTTCACGTTCACAGTTCACTCCGGTGCAGAAACCTGCTCTCTCACCGTTTCTTCACGTCTGATTCAAAGATCCTGTGAACGGCAGCTGGCTCGGTCGTCCTGCTTCGTTCAGGTCGCAGCTTGTCTGCATGAAATGTGCAGCAGAGGGAGGACGAGGAGACGCTCCGTCTTCGTAGCCCAGAGCGTCTGCTTGGATGTGTTTTAGTTGCATCTTCTGATCTCACGTTCATCCTCCGTCGTTTGCGGCCCAGGAGAACACCTGAAGGCCTTTGTTTTCGGCTAACTCACGTCTTTTCTTTTATCTTTTACCTTTTGTGCTGAACGTGTTTGTTTGATCGCCTGATGTGTTGAAGGTGTGCGGCTGCTTTTATATAAAAAAAGCCGTCCAGGATCAGTCCGTCGTCCTCCTGCACAGGTTGCAGGTTTTATTTCTCCCTGCAGGTGGCGCTTCAGTCGATCCTTTCACTGCTTTTTGCCTCAAAGAGAAGAGTGAGGGACGGACGAACCGGTGTGAGCGCTAACGGACGTTCACATTCAGGACCGGAGTTTCATTCTCCTTTTGGTTAAACCACAGTAGTCAATAATAATAATAAAATCACATCTTTTTTATTTTTGCCGTCGGATTCAAACCTTCTCGGCATCAGTGATGACGCCAGATTTCTGCAGAGATGTTCTGTTGTGTTTACCAGCTGGAGGAGGTGTGTTGCTTTAACGTCCTCTGAATAGGTTGGATTCAGTTTGTTCTCCGACTGGTTCTCATGCTGGAACGTTCCTCTTCTGCCGAGAATATTTTACCGTAAATTCCGGACTATGAGCGCACCTGAATATAAGCCACACCCACCAGCTTTAAAAAGAAAACCAGTTTTGTACATATACAGGCCGCATTTGTCTATAAGCAGAAAGATGTTTTTAACTTTTATTTAAATACGTACCGGCAACATACACAAATACATAAATGCTTTTTTTCTGAACAGTTCCTGTAACACGGCTGGTTAAGAAAATAAAAACTCCAGCAGCTACCAGGAAAAGTCACTGATCGCTATCTTCATCTTCCTCCTGCACTAAAACCACTAAAGTCGTCTTCTTCCGAGTTAAACAGCCTCAGAATCACTTCCTCAGCCTCTCTGTCGTCATCGCTCTCAACGTCACTTTAGTTTCGAGGCAAATTTGTAAAAATCCATAAATTATCCACGTCATTGTTTAAGCCGCAGAGTTCAAAGCGTGTAGAAAAAGTAGCGGCTTATAGTCCGGACATTACGGGATTGTCTCCTCAGACATTCATCTATGAACGTCATCTTTTCCACTCATGCAGCGCCACATAATCATGCTTCCACCTCCGTGCTCCACCGTCCACTGTAGTCAGTAGAGGTCGACGTTAGCTGTCCTCCAGGCTGTCTGAGCTCCACAGAACTGATAGTCTGATTCATCTGGTGCCAAATCCGAAGCCCCGAAAACAGCATAAAGTCTGTGGCGTCATTTTAGGAGGCGGACGGCTGCAGCTCGCTCTGTAGCTCCCGATTACTTTCTTCTTGATCTTTCTGTTTCCTTTCCCGTGTTTGTGAAGTCTCGAAACAGTCACCGAGATGGTTCTGCTCATTTTAGAACCACGTTCGTTATTCATTCTTGTTGCATTGAGTTTTTACTTTAGGGCCTAAATTTTAAACGCAGTCTTTCAAGAGTTGAATCATTGCACGTTCTGTCGTGTGCTGTTTGTTCTGACAAGTGTCCAGACAGGTAGTTAGCCACAGGTAGCCACAGCTAGCTAGCCGCAGGTAGCCAGCCACAGGTAACTAGCCACAGGTAGCCACAGGTAGCTAGCCGCAGGTAGCCACAGGTAGCTAGCCACATGTAGCCTCAGGTAGCCACAGGTAGTCAGCCACAGGTAACTAGCCACAGGTAGCCAGCCACAGGTAGCTAGCCACAGGTAGACGCAGGTAGCCAGCCACAGGTAGCTAGTCGCAGGTTGCCAGCCACAGGTAATTAGCCACAGGTAGCCACAGGTAGCTAGCCACAGGTAGCTAGTCGCAGGTAGCTAGCCACAGGTAACTAGTCACAGGTAGCTAGTCTCAGGTTGCCAGCCACAGGTAGCTAGTCGCAGGTTGCCAGCCACAGGTAATTAGCCACAGGTAGCCA